CAAACATATGCTCCATCAGGGATGGTGCTTCAGGCCGCAAGGCATTGAATTTAAAACTACAATAAGCATGTTAATGTTAATCTAACAGCTCCGGCGATCCACAACCCCCCCCTCGCCGCCCTATTTTGCATTTTGAAATGCTCCCGATTTCTGAGGTCTCAAGGTTGGCAAGTAAGCAACAATATACATAAAGAAATGGCATATTTTGGACATATGGTGATTAATCATGATTAATTAATTTTTAAACTGTGATTAATCTGATTAAAAATTGTAATCGTTTGACAGCCCTAGTTTTAAATCAATAGGTTGAATTGTTTTTATCTGCTATAATCTACCCAATGTTCATTTTGTATCTGACATTTTTATTCACGCGATTTTTTTAATTAATGAATACTTTTTGGACATTGCTGCACTTTTAGTGCATACTATTATGAGTCAAATAAACTTTGTCAGCCAAAGAGAAGAAAGAAAAGAGCTGATTTATCTGATACAACCCAGACATTTCTTTGCATGGCGTTTCAATCTAGATGAACCACAGACACCACAGTTTCCAACTAAAGATTTGAGTAGTGAGGTACCCACACTAGCAGTTATGAAACTAGAGTTCAATGATTTTATCATTGTTTAGCAGCTACAGATGTATCAGTGCTATAAAACACATATTTTGACTGGATACTAAAGGCCTCATGCAAACCCTTGACACTGTCTGGTGTTGTTGCTGGTCACATTCTCTGCACCTCAAACGACAATAAGAGACTAGTACTACTTTAATCTGACCTTTTTATTGTTTGTTCTTAAAAATGTATTCGCCACCTTTACCATCGTCAACAAGTTGATTGAAAGCATTTAGATTTATTTTCTCCCTCCTCCTTTCCATCATGGCCTACAAAAAACTGTGTAAAGAGTACATGTTTTGTTTTATAATAATTGCCATAATTGGAATAAACTAATAAATAAAAAAAGGCTATAGTTCAAATCAAATATTGATGATATATACAATNCTTTCATTTATCTTTCCATTCCCACAACAATCATACTTGTCAACCCTCCCGGGAGGAAACCGGGAGAGGGCAATGAAATCGGGAGTCTCCCGCGAAAATCGGGAGGGTTGACAAGTATGATTGTTGTGGGAATGGAAAGATAAATGAAAGAAGGCGGATATATCCATTTAACATACGTTAATGTTAACGTATGTTTATTCTAACATTTTTCTGTGTGTCAAAATGAAAGACAGCCCACACACATATCAATCATCAAACTGTGGGGTCTTAATTCATTACGTGTTGATTTCTATCAACGGGGGAGTACTTCAGGAAAGTCGACGGGGGGGGCTAGTGGAGTACTTCGTGACCACAGATTGTGAATGTTGTGATCAGCTGTTTTAGCGCAGTTCTCAGTGAAGGGGGGGGGGAGTCTCCCTCCGCAGCCGGTTGGCGTAGTTTTGGCACAATTCCGTTGTACAGACCGACGTTAACAGCAGCCGACTCTGTCGTCCGGTGATCTAACCGCCTTCTGGAAAAGCTTCACAAGTACGTCGAACGCAAATGCGCTTTGTGACACAAGTGACGGTACGCATTTCAGATTACGCACATAACCTGCGTACCAGTTATGTGCACCCCTGTACTACAGCAAAAAGTATTCTCCGTCGGGACTTCCTGCAACAACACCACGCCGTTATCTTGATTCTATTGAGAAGACGATCACTACGTGACAAAAGTTTTCAAAACCGTTTCTTGTCTTCGGTATTTCCAGACAAGTGGCTACTGAAATCACTAACTGCTGTCTGTGCAATTCTCGGCGCGAGTTGGCGGACTTTATTTTGGTTACTTTAACATTATTTTTCATGTTGGGGCTAAGCCATTTCTTGGTATGGGTGTCGCCTACCCCAGCCATACCCTGGCGCTGCTACTGGTGGGATGTATGGGACGGGCCATTCTGCACATGCGTTAAATGCGTTAAATATTTTAACGCAATTAATTAAAAAAAAAAATAATTACCGCCGTTAACGCGATAATTTTGACAGCATTAATTTAAACAAACAAAAAAAAGCTGGTTTTATGCAAACAAATTACACTTCAAAAGAGTGAAAGCTACTAAGAACATATCTAATCTATAACACATTTTGGTAAAACACTGACTAATGAGCCACAATGCTCTTTTAGATTATTTGTCAGTCAGTGTTGACATGTTTTCAGAGAATTATCTTCACACTTGACTGTGATAATACTGACACTCAGACTTTGAGATGGAAACTGTGGTTATAGCAACTTGTTTTATTTATAGTGCAACATCGCAGTAATACAAAGACAACAGCCCAAATGTGAAATAGGTCCATACAATTTTGATTATTTTTCACATATTTCATCCAACTAAATGTGACTAAAGCTTATTTAGTCACATTAAGGATAAGTATTATCCAAACAGTGACAAGAATATCCCAACATTTTCAGAAAAAACACGATACTTGATATTTAAATAGATAAAAAAGGATCACTTCAAGCAAATTACATCAAATGTTGTATAGAATAAATTGTTGACCATGTGAAAACTCAGCCGTGCTGTTCACATAATTCATGTGCTTCAGGCTGTGGAGGCCGCAGAACCACAGGCCTTATATCTACTGAAACATCTGCAACACTTCATGAGTTGTCATTTCTACTGTATACTACCACATGCAATCGTCACTTTAACACAATTAAAGTTTGCACAGGGTCGCTGACTGAGGGTACTGGTTTATCAAAGGGTCGACACGACACCCAAAGACAACNTTTCATTAGGGTCAGGTGTGAACATGTTAACTCATCTTGGATGACAAATGCAAACCAGCTTAAGTGGATTTGAAGTTTCTTTGTGCAACATTACCAACACGGTTAGCTACATGTGATACAAAACTGGCTTTACTTTCAAGAGAATACATGACCCTTTGTGTTTGAAAAAGGTGAACAACAGATGCAACATATGTAGATGTACATGTTGATATAATATTGGTGAACTGACAAGCAACAATGTTTGTTATGAACAAAGCTTTATTTTTCAAGTTTTGAGATGACATTTAAGGAGCCAGTACAGTGCAATAAGAGTATGTTGATCTGTTACATTTAACAATCCTTCATCATCTTTCTGATCCAGGGAAGGAATTTTGATACATCTGTGTACACATTGGGCCTATTTGGGTATCTGCAGTTATTGTCCCAGTTGTAAGAAACAACACCAGCTGCCTTCCCGTTGCACACCAGAGGACCCCCAGAATCACCCTGTGAGGAGGAAGAAGCTATATTAGTTCATTTTCTTTCTAATAACCTTTTTATAATGAGACCATACCCCTATGACAGGAAAGGAAGCATACCTGACAGAATCCTTTATTTGTGCCATATCCACCAGCACAGATAACTTTTTCAGGAAGCATGTTAGGCCATTCGTTCTTACAGACATCCAGGTCAACAATGGGCACATTCACCATTTGCAGCTCATCAGGGTCACCAACACTTGTTAGGCCCCATCCAGCAACACTGCACGTTTCTCTATTTGCAATCCTAGTCTCAGTTTCTGGAAGTGAAATTGGCTGCAATCTTTGGTTCAGTTGAGCTTTCTTGGACAGCTGGAGAAACAAAATCACAAGTGAAAATGAGTGAACAAAACTAGAAAATACAGAGGTATGATAGAGGATACTTCGTATCCCCATATCAGACCTCAAGCTTGAAAATAGTTGCTTGAAAATGAAGCTGCTCATAGTATTGATGTAAATGCTTTGTTGTTTTAACGGTTTTGTTGAGACTAAAAGTGAATTTAACAGAACATCAAATTACTGGAACTCTACTTACTTTGAGAAGCATGATGTCCGACCCCTCACAAACTTTATCATAACATCGATGCTTGCATCTCTTCACACTGTATCTCATTGTGTCATCAATATTCTTGAGATTGTGGGTACCAAGAACAACACTTGTAGGATTCCTAAGCAAATGATCATCAGGAGGCAATCAGTAGTGTTTATTAATAGCTGCTGCATGTTATGCAAAAATAAGGTTCTTTGGATTGGTCCAATAACATTATTCATTGAGTATTGAAAGAGCAAAGGTAACTCACCCAACATCACAATGTGCAGCAGTGACCACAAAGTCTTTATTGATGAGGAATCCTCCACAGATATGTTTGTTTCTGCTGTTCTGAACCGAGGCCATAAACAGCATTTTCTTGTCCGGGACCTTTTCACCATTTATGATTTCACTACCAAGTGCTGAAAAGAAGGATGAGTTAATACTGCATTTGTAGAAAATAGACAAATAACCACATGTGGGAACATTACCTTGAAGTCCAAGAGTTGTCAGAAGTTGAAGAAGCAGAATCCTGTGCAGAGCGTGCTTCATGCTTGCAGCAAACTGAACCTGTTGTCTTTGAGTGTCGTGTCGACCCTTTCATAAACCAGTTCCCTCAGTCAGCGACCCTGTGCAAACTTTAAATGTGTTAAAGTGACGATTGCATGTGGTAGTATACAGTAGAAATGACAACTCATGAAGTGTTGCAGATGTTTCAGTAAATATAAGGCCTGTGGTTCTGCGGCCTCCACACCCTGAAGCACATGCACAAGTATTGTGTTTNATTACACCGCTTTACACTGAAAGGGTTTATCTGTTATTTTGTCCATATCATTCTGTATAGTTACTTAATTTGGCTTTTAACTTGATTTTGAATTGCACTGAAGCCAAATTAAGTAACTATACAGAATGATATGGACAAAATAACAGATAAACCCTTTCAGTGTAAAGCGGTGTAATCCAATAATACAAAGTATGGATTGTACAACTACTGCAATCAATCACTTTTGTTTAATGGATTTTACAGAAACCTTATTTTCATTTTTTACATTCATGCAGATATTATTTCTGTCTTTTCTCCCATGCAAAGGCTGGATTTGTTAAGCTTCAGAGGGGAGTGTGTGGGAGAGGAACTCCCTCTCTAGCAGGTGTGTCAAACTCAAGGCCCGGGGGCCAAATCCGGCCCGCGACTTCATTTTATGTGGCCCCGCAAGAGCTTGCAAAGAATATAATACGTTTATTATACGGTTACATGCCACTTTACAGAAGCAGGTTGCCCATAAACTACATGTCCCACAATGCATCTCGTTTTGTGACATGCGCACTGAAGAGACTTGCAAATATTTGCCCTGGACTTCTGCTTTCAGACTTAGTTAATTACTAAATTATTACCCTATCCAATAATAATCCAATGCAGAGGCAATAATATAATATAATACATTATTTCATATATATTATGTATTTTTTATATATGTATAGTTACAACCGGACCTTTGAGTGCAACCATAATGCTAATGTGGCCCGCGATGAAATTGAGTTTGACACCCCTGCTCTAGTGGGAACTTCATGATTTTAGCCTTTGCAGACCATTTACATGCACACAAACCTATACATCACACGAAAACAAAAGGAAAACCCCAAAAAGCATTATAGGGCCTCTTTAAGTAAAGGCTTTTTGTGTTGGCAATGTGTGCTTTTAATAAAAACTGAATTTGTTTGCAATTCCTAGAATAAAGCATTTTATTCCTGTGGCTGTAAAAAGTTTAGTAAGTATTTGTTGAGTAAATTCCTCCTAATGTTTAAAAAGGTAAAGGTTGGCATTTTTTATGTGTTTATTTCTTGCAAAGCTGTCGTTATGCGCATGAACGCTTTTAGTTTGCAATGATGGTTCCCACAAAGCACAGCTTGGTAAAAGGAAAAGTGGTTGCTTTAATATTATGTTGCAATTAGAAGCTATCTGTTTGGTGATCTTTCTCGTCTCCTCAGGCAAACAAAAGCTCTTACAGCTTCACCTCTTGTTTTTATTTGACCAATTTGCACATTAGAGATATCCCCGCTCTCTGTTGTCTGGTAGTTACTGAGTGGAGCACAAATCTCAAGTGTTGTTTTCTTCGCGCTCAGCAATTCAGCTTTATAATGTGATAACTGTATTAAGTCCTCCAAATAAATAAATAAAAACTAATTATAGAAAGCTTTGTTTGTCTGGAAGAATGGAATTCAAGCACAGCTTTGCTTAATGAAGGGTCATGCTAGTTGAGGATAATTTCAAAGAAAATAATAAAGAAATCCTACGACAAAAGTAATAGAATAGAATCAAGTTATTATCCCAATTATTTTCGCTCCTCATTTTATATTTAATTTATGTACATGGTTGGGATATATGTAATACATTTTCCAACTTGTCATTGCAGATATATTCAGTTTTTGATGATTTTGAGTGTTGAATTTGCTATGCTCTTTAAGTTTCTCCAGTCTAATAAATAAACAAAATAAACTCACAAAACTTCAAGCAGGGAAATATTCTTAAACCTATTTTCTTTATCGCATAAAAGGCACCTTTTTGAATGTAAGTTTCTCTCTTTCACTGAATTAGATGAACTAGCTAAATTGTCTTGTAAGTAATCATATTACGTTCAATTGAATGTTTTTGTCCAAAGGGACTTACAATAATTGCATTCGACCATGAAGAAGTCGGTAGGGGCTTGGAATGGGAGCTGTAGGGTCGCCGGTTCAAGTCCCCGACCAGACTTAAAATATGGAGTGTGGACTGCTACTTGGAGAGGTCCCAGTTCACCTCCTGCCCTGCCGTGCTGCCCTTGAGCAAGGCACCTGACACTCCCCTTTCCCCCTCACTCCCATTGCTCCCCAGGCGCCGTACAATCGCTCGCCACTGCTCCTAGTACTAGACTTCTGGTACTAGGATGGGTTAAATGCAGAGAACACATTTTACTGTGTGCTGTGTGCTCTGCATGTGAGACCATTAAAGAGGGTTTCATCCCTCCCAATTTTATTCTATTCAAAAGCAAGAATCCTGCAGGTACATTTCCCATCTATAAAGTGCTACGTACAGAAGATTCGTTTGAATGACTGATTCATATAACACTGCCTACTTCATTCAAACTCGACCGAAAAAAATAAAAGATTAACAACTTCCTCTTTAACACAGCATGAATAACCCACCTTGCTCCCTTCTGATTAAAATACATAATGTTTCGTCCTCTCTTCCTGCAGGTACATGATGTTGATCAACGGAAAAAATGAAGTATTCATGATCGACAGAGACAACACGATCTTCCACATAGCGAACCTAGAGTTTCCTTTCCGGAAGGATCCTCGTGTACACCTCGCAAATACTCTATTGGATGGGGTGAGTGAATACTGCTCTTGTTTTTGGATTGTCATGTATTGTGCCATGCTAGCTTCTCTTGATGCTCCTTTAAGCCCCTGTCACACTGTCTGGAAATTGACACCAGACGGACACACGATAAAGGAAATGTTCAAATTCGGCTCTGATCGTAACAACATCGGGCCATTCGTGAGGGCATCGTATGACCGCCGGTGGAGTTTCTCAGGCTCCGGCAGCAACTTTGTGAGCAGTGGCAAAATCTTTGGCATGCCAAAAAATTGCCAAAGGACATTGCGAAGGTTCATTTTCGTGTTGAATTTGTGTGTCCATTTTGCGGAGCAAACGGCAAATGTCTTACCTTTTGCTGTTTTCTGATCAATAAGTTGTGTTCCAATGTCATCAAAACGATCAAACGCTGCTTGAAGTTAAATCCAAGTGGGTCTGTGTCACTTGAAATGTTACTGATAAAAATCCATCATCATTATTTATGGCAATAAGCCTAGTTTTCAGTTTTCAGAGCGAACATAGCTTTTGGTTTGGGCAAACTGCATGCGCATCACTCTCACTCCTGAATGGTTACGTGTGGTGGATTTAGGAACCTCCCTCTTCGATTCTATTGGCTCTAATGGTTCAAAAGAGGTGTTGAATCATCAAAAATCGACCGAGGGGGGCCAGAGATATG